CCCCCCGCCCAGCCCCTTCTCAGCCGCCGGGGTCCTCCGCAGGGCCGCTCTGCGGGAGGGCGACGGGGGGGCTGCGGACAGCGAGCGCCCTTTGCACGGGTAACCCCTCCTTGCACGGGTAACCCCCCTTGCACAGACAACCCCCCCGCATGGGCAACCCTTCCCGGCGCGGGGAACCCCCATGCCTTGCACCAGCAAAGCTCCTTTGCTGCACGGGCGAACTTACCTGCTGCTAGCACACACACACCCCCATTTGCACGGGCACCAGCCCGGCTTTGCACCCCCCGTGCTTTGCACACACCCCCCGGCTTTGCACAGCCGGCCGGGGTGCGGTGTGGGTGCGGGGCACCCCCCGGTTCGCGGCGGCCGGGCAAGCCCTCGGCGGGGGAGGAACTTTCCTTCCAGCAGCGCGGCCGTGTCTGGCAGCAATGCAGCAGCCGAGAGCCGAGCTGCAAAGTCTCCAACTTACACGGCACCCCTAAAATAGTCCTGATTTCATCCCTGAAAGGATTTCCTGGCTTTGTGTGTCTTAACTAGCCTTGGCCATTTTTGTAGAATAACCCTATTATTCACAGCTCCGAGGGTACAATCTGCTAAAGTCACTTAATAAAAAAAAAAAAAAAAAAAAAAAAACATAAGAAAAACCTTCAAAGGGCGTGAGAAATAAAGGCAAACAAACAATTGTCTGTAGCTCTCAGCTCCCCTTGATCGTGGCTACCCGCTTCATTAACAGCAGAAGCATTATATTCTTAAAACTGGAAGTCTCAAGATGCGTGATAATACTGCAAAATTAATCGGGGGGGGGGGAAGCAAGTGAATTTGAAGGTTAATTACTATTTTTTTACAACAAAGTGAGACTAACTCACACAACTTATCTTGTAACTTAATGAGTGGCATGGTTATCCCTCCGAATTTACTGCTTTTAATTGACTTGAGCAGGTATTTAAAGACACAGAGGGCTGCAGCCCCAGCGTATTGAGTACAGAGAGGAACAAAAAAATTAAGAAAGAAAAAAACCCTCAGATAGTGATTTTCAGTTTCAAGTTTGGGAGCCTCCGACCTGCGCTGGTGACAGTGCGGCTCCGTACATGGCGCATTGTAACCTCCCGGCCGCGGCTCTGCTTTCTCGGTTACCTCCTGGTGACCCCTCCGAAGGAGCCCGCCAATTCCCAGCGGTCTGGAGACCACAGGTTGGAAACCACTGTTTTTGCATAAACTTCTGTTATTCGGCGCAGGCTTAGGTTGCGAGGGTTCCTCTTAGCAAATTGTCAAAGGATGATGTGTACTGCATAAATTAAAACATCATGTCCCCTTGCCATGTGAAAGCATTATTAAAAGAAGCATAATAAGGGATTTCCACCATGTTATCAAGTGTACAAAGAAAACTCCGAATGGGAGGGATGGCTGTCATCGGGGTAGAACAAGCTGGGATTTTGGAGAGGCTTGAGAAGTGCTTTGAATAGCCCGTCAGTTGGACAAGGATCAGCGCTGACAATAGCTGGTCTATATGTGGTATGGCCTGTTAACATACAGCAGCAATCATTAAAGGCCTGATCCCGACAACAGGGCTCTCTAGGGCCTTGAGCGATGTTAGTGGCTTTGGGGGAGCCACTGTGGGTGCTTGCTTGCCCTGGGGGCAGCTTTGACCCACTGAGAGCCAGAAGCCCCCCCAAAATCGCTGGGGGCTCAATCCTGACCCCCTTTCCGTCAAGACCTTAGAGCCACACGCTGCTATGACTCCCATCACCAAAACTATTTAGAGACTTAAATGCCATTACGGTTGATGGAAATCAATGCCCAGATGTTTCTGTGTCATCCCTCGACTCGCTATGGAATTAGCTACAAATCCAGCAGAAATGGTGTGGAGGAGCCGTAGGTCAATGCTGTGCCTAACCTGGTCCCGCCATCCTTCATGAAATTTATAATGGCCGAAGATACTAAAAATGAGAGTAGTCTGTAAGGCTCTCTCTGGGGAAGAGATTGATTTATTATTCCACATGTACATAGAGAACTGAGCATAACAGCGTTTTCCTCCTCAGTCTGAAGGCTCCAAACCCTGATGCAATATAAATAAACACCACGGTCATGCAAACGCTGTGTCACCCTTAAACGGGAGGGCAGGTGGGCAGAAGCTTCAATCTCCAGGCTCCAAAGTTCAGGGGGTAGCTTAAATAAGCAGACGAATACGTTTGATGGACATTCTCACTTTACACGACTAAATACGTGTGAATAATAATAATGTTTTTGCATGCAGCGTTTTCTGCCCATCACCATGATTCCCAGCAGGAGAGCAGGGAGGATGGAGAGGTCCTGCAGTCCCCATCCGACAGATGAGGGCGGCTGCACCCGAATTTGGGGTCTAGGCCATAGGTGCATCACCAAAGCCATGTACACATGGGGATGGGAATTACAGTGGTTGTGCTAAGGGCAAGTAGGAATAACTGCACTAAAAATTGGTCAATCCTATAGTCTCTGTGAAATCTCCTACTTTAACCGTGAGTTACTAGAGGCATCGCTGCCTGGCACGGCCGTACGTGGGGTGCTGGCTCTGGAGCTGAGCATATCACGGGAATGCCTGCAGACTTGTAATGCATTTCTACAGGGTCTTGAGTCTATTGCGAGATGCAGTGCGGAGGAAATAACTTCCCAGCAAAAGTGTGCAGACTACGGAAAAGAGGCAAACAGAACGGAGAGAGGCGGGATAAGCAGCGTTTTCCCTTTTGTTTTGCTGTAGATCTTCTAATGGGGAGCATAATGCATGGCAATACTATTTTAGCATAAATACTGCTTCACAAGCAGAATTTAGCTGAAAAACCAAAATACCGCAAAGTGAAAGTTCGCTGTGAAAGTGAACGCAGTTTAATAAGCTAGCTATGATTTACTGATCG